TAAGGGAGAAAGTTCCATAAAGGTAATCTTCCCTAGCCTTTTGTCTTCTAACAAAGTTCATTCAGGAATCTTGCTGCCATTGGCCAACTGCATTTCAGCTCTTCCCTTCCAAAGCAGCTAAGGAATTATATAGGGATAGCATTAATTCAAGATGGGTTTCCCATCCCTTGGGTGGGTAGAGAGCGTACCTTCCCCCTTGGATAGGTTCCTTTCTCCATAAAGGTAATCTTCCCTAGCCTTTTGTCTTCTAACAAAGTTCATTCAGGAATCTTGCTGCCATTGGCCAACTGCATTTCAGCTCTTCCCTTCCAAAGCAGCTAAGGAATTATATAGGGATAGCATTAATTCAAGATGGGTTTCCCATCCCTTGGGTGGGTAGAGAGCGTACCTTCCCCCTTGGATAGGTTCCTTTCCTACCTTCTTGTGAAGCTGTGTCACTATGCTATGTCTACATTACGTTTTACAGGTAAATTAGACATGCTAATTTTATTTGTAGAAATACATTTTATTTAATTGCCAACAAATAAAATGATAAGAGTAGCAAACAAATCATAATTGTTCCAATTATTTATAATTTTATTTTATTACATGCTATTTTCCACTACTGGAGTAGACCTTGCAGATTTCACTATTACTATGTGGTCTTCAGAATCCTAGATGAGGATACCAACTGAAAATTTAAGGACCATGTAACCTTGACCAATTGAGCTCAGTAACCCATCTAAATAGAACTCTTCGTTTTGCAGATGAGAAAGTATTTCTCCTTTCTTCTCATCAAGAGTTCATTTTGTTTAAAAATAAAAATAAAGGAAAGACATAAGAATTCTCTGGTCTCAGACAGTAAGTAAATGCTGAGCATTAATTATAACTGTACTTGACAATAATAAATAAAATATTCCCAATACTCCTAAAATAGATATTACAGTAGGAAATAAAATTGAGAGGTGTGAGTTTGGTTACATAATTTTATTTTGCACAAAGTTGGTAAAATTTCCATGCTTCACTTCATTAATCATGTTTCTTTGTACCGGGGAGAATTTATGGCAGATAAATAATTAACACATTAAGACTTTACTATGTTGGACAAAAGGACTCCTAAGCATATAATATTAATTTATTGTGAGAGAGCGGAATGGCCAGTAACTCTTTGTAGTAACAGTAAAGACAACACCAAAAATTTGAGGGATAGCAGTTAATACTGAAAATACTTTAATGGCATTACATAAATCAAAGCTATTGTTTCCCTTAGAAAACATGTTCAGTTCAGGTAATTCCATGTCAAAACAAATACAGAGGGGTTGAAAGTAGGGCAGTTAAAATTAATGACCTGAAAGAATTTTTAAAAATGGAAAAGTTTTTAAAAGTACTAGTCTATAGTGATCATGACACAAGAATGCAAAATAATGAATGCTACTGAGAAGGTTAATTGGGCAATCCTATTTAGCCCCTCCTGTGACTCAAGAAAACAGTAAGTGGATATCTAATAAAATTAAAGGGCAACATGTTTAAAGACAGTGTACATTGTGATAAAAAATAAAACATTCGTGACGTTAGTGGTATTCAACAAGGGATTAGACATTGTTATGGATTACAAGATCATCAACTTATATTACAGAGGCTAAATATGTGCACATGGACCAATAAGCTTCGTGACATAAGCCAATTCCTAACTACCTGGCGAGTACAAAAAAACCTTCCCCCACAGGCACAATATTGTGTAACTGTCCATGAGAGTTGTCTATATCTTCCACTGAAATGTAGTACTAGTCACTATCAGAGAAGGGATACAGGATTATTCAGAGCACTGATGCTTCAGCATGGCAATTCCTATGTTCCTCAAAACTCATTTTTCACTATCTTTTCCACTGTTAACCTACATGCAAATCTGTATTGCTACATACATATTTATTAATAAATAAGAGAAACATATTATATTTTAGCGAATATACCCCGCACCCAAATAGACCCCGCGGTTTTTGCTATTTCAGTAAAAAAAAAATTGTATACGCCATGCACGAGTATAACCCGTGGGGTATACAAGACTGTGCTGGGGGTATATTTACGAGACGGTGCAGTGGGTTAGGCTCCCAGTCCATGACCCAACAACGTGGGGAAACTTACAAGGGGCGCAGCAGCCGGGAACGCTCTAGAGCTGGGGCACAGGTATCCCCAGCAGAGGCACAAGGCAGGAGGCTCCCAGCCTGGGCTGACAAAGGGAAGGAGCCCGGAGCAAACTGCAGCGGCGGTGGGAGTCTGCAGGTGGCCACGGCTCACAGGAGCAGGGCTGGGGCATGGTGCTTGTTGCTCCTGTGCGATCCAGCCGGGTGTCCTTCCCTGCCTGCAGCCACCGCCACTGCACCCCAGCTCCACTGCGCGCTCGCTTGTTGCTCTCGGGCCGCGGCATGGTTTGGGGCGGCAGAGCAGGCGCTGGCCCGGGAGCAACAAGTGAGCGTGCAGTAGATCCAGCATGCGGCACCTACAGGCAGGGAAGGGGGGCGCGCGGGACCATGCCTGGCCCTGCTCCTGTGAGCCGTGGCCGCCTGCAGACTCCCACCGCTGCTGCTGGCTGCTGAGCCCCGCGACCGCAACTTGCTCCAGACTCCTTCCCTTTGTAAGCCTGGGCTGGGAGCCTCCCGCCTTGCACCTCTGCTGGGGATGCCTCTGCCCCGGCTCCAGAGCGTTCCCGGCTGCTGCGCCCCTTGTAAGTTTCCCTGCGTTGTTCAGTCACGGGCTGGGAGCCTAACCCCAGCCCAGCAAAGGTAGTGAAAGGGAAGGGGGGAGGGGATCCTCTTCCACTGAGTTAAAAAAAAACCTATATACCCTGTGCATGGGTATAGCCAGCAGGAGGTGAGGGTGCAGGGGGAGAGTGCGGCGTTTGTAAAAACGAATATAACCCGCGGATTATATTCGCTAAAAGACGATAAGTTGGAAGTAAAAATGATGTGCCAAAGTTTTCCAAAAGTCATAACTAAAGTTGTGTCCTGAATGTTCTGAATAGTAAAGGCCAGAGAGACATTCAGCAATTAACAGATTAACCATTAACTAGCTATGTTCTGCAGTTACATCACAGAATAAATGCACAGACATAAGGTTTTCTATTAGAGCAACAGTACCAGGCTACAAAGAGGTACAAAATTAAAATATATCCAAACTATTTAAAACTATTCAAACACTTCTGATTTTTCACATATCCCAAGAATAAACCTCTTAACCCTCAAAGATATAAGCCAGAAAGAATATAACATTCATAGAAGTTTGTAGGGCACACAGAAAAAAATGTTTCTTTGTTTGCAGGATGAGAAAATGTGTTCTAGATTCTCCCTAGGCAGCAGCTCCACAGAGCCACCAACCCCACCCTCTCCTGCACAGCTGCCTCTGATACAGACACAGAGGCAGGCGGGG